CAGCACTGCTTGACTTGTCGATGCAACACGTGTCGACCCACGCGTACTGCAGCTCTTGTTGTTGAGCTAGCCCGCAGGCTTTTGCGATCTTGACGAAGCCGGCCTTCCTGATAGTCTGTTCCCGAACTAAGAACCTTGGATCCTTCATATCCTGGAATGTCACTTCATCCTTTCCCCATGTGTGCGAAAGGATTGCGTAGGGTGGTATGTCTCTGCCGATGAACTCTTCAAGGTTGTGGGATGACGTGTTGATGAGCCACATTTGGAGGCGTGCGTGAGGGCAAATGAGAACGATGGGATGATTGAGCGGTTCTTCTGGTTCAGCATGGGACGAGGTTGTGCCAATAAAGAAATCTCCTGCTTATATGCAGTCGGAAGATGTGGTGAAGTTGTAATCACATTACGGGGCATCAATCTGACATAAGTGGAGGTGACGTAAAGTACCTCACTACCAAATGTGCCTTCCATCTCACGCTCACCATTGCAATTGGGCAGTCACATCCAATGCAGGGGAGCAGGAAAGCGCTACCAAGATTCGACCCTCTTTCATGCATGACATCTCACTCAAAGCCACTGGATGCTCATCAAAGTCGACTGAAACATCGCGGACGGTTAAAGTATCAACCATAGCAGTATACCACTCTAATTAAATGTAATTATGTGAGAAACAAGATGGCACTTCTTCTCAAGTATAATGTCTGCTCACCAGAGCTTCAAAGAATGAGAGTTGTTGTGAGACACTACGTCGCCTCTACTTACAGGTACGCAACAGCCAGAGAGCCCATGAACCCCATCATAGCAAACTTGAGCGAGGCATCAAAGCTTCTCGAACTCGCCCCAGCCGGAGTGAAATTCGCAGTCGGCTTGACACCGTCAGTGAAGGGGGCATTGGCAGCTTGAACTGCTCCGGGGAAGGCAGCCGTTGAGGTTCCTGGGCTCAACTTGGGTGATGCTGGGTTGAGGACACTGTTCGTATGTAAGTAACCTGGAAAGCTGTGAGCTGGGAATGGAACGAGACATGCTTACCTATCAATGACGTGCATAACACCGTCGCTGGTAATGATATCCTTGATGGTAACCTTGGCAGAGTTGGCAAAGACGGTAGTATCCTCCTTCCGCAGCGAAACCTTCTCGCCCATCAGACTCTTGTATCCCATCTTGGTCGCCACTCCTGTGGTGAACCGGACCTGGTTCATGAGAACGTGATACTGTAGAATCCTAGCAAGATCCGCAGGTTCCATCGACGCAACCGTAGCCCCAATAGCCTGGAACGCAGCATTCGTCGGTGCAAAGACAGTCGCGGCCTGCAAAGAGTTGACACCATCGACCAACCCAGCTTTTATCAACGCGCCCGCCATGCTCGTGAGGCCCGTGTTCATAGCCGTGTCGGCGGGGGATCCGGGGAACGTCAAGACAGTATCGATGATGTGAAGTACGCCGTTCTGGAAGGCGACGTCGGCTTTTGTGATGACGCTCATCTGCTTGTAGCCGCTGAATACTCTGCCCTGGTCACCCTTTCTGACAAGCTCGACCTTTTGGTTACCCGTGACGTTGGCGGTGGGCATCTCGAGGAGGGTCTGGGCGAACTTGGGCTGTTCGAAAAACATGGTGGCCGTGGTCTTGCCGCTGACGACGTGGTAGCTTAGGAGATCGGCGAGGAAGGTTGCGTTGGTCGCCTTTTGGGCAAAGGTAGGGTCCATCTGCATCATCTTGACGAAGGCATCGTTGGAGGGAGCGAGGATGGTGACGTCCTTGGCTTTAACGAGGGTCTGGTTCAGTGCTGGGACCATCGCCAGAAGTGCTATTTGGTGGTGTTAGTAGTCACGCTCCCTTGCCCATACACGGCCTATCCCATGAAAGAGCATACAGGTCAGAGTACTCAAGGTATCATTATTGCTCTTGAGTAAATTCATAAGAGGTGGAGCCGCTGCCGCCAGTGCAGCAAAGGCGAGCGTGAAGAAGCTCGTCGGCTGCATTGTGCGGGAGCGGGCGAAGCGAAACGGGAAGCCAGCCCGGTGATGTTAAAGAAAAGAAAGGAAAGGTGAAGACTTGGAATTTTAGGTTCAAGCCAGGACGACGATCTACGGGAACGAGCCGACTAGTAATACTTATACTGACAAGTCTCAACCCAACCTTCCGGGTCCGAGAGGCGGGGGAGGCATGTCTTGACACTTTTTTGCCAAGGTCAGACGGTTTACCACCACATAGGATAGAACCTTCGGCCTGCCATCAACGGATGGAGCATTGCAATACGACGACCAAAATAAGCACCGGAGGTGGGTCTCTTCTGGCCCCGGTTGTGTTTTGTCTCCTGATGCAACTTCATCTTTCTTTCCAGGCCCTCGTAACGACCCGTTATCTGTGAAGGACGCGTGGAGCCTTTTCGACGTGGGAGGACCCGCGGGAAGCAAGCTTGACACTTATGTCCCGGCGCGCGGCCGTCCCGAAGCATGGTGGACCCATCAGCCTTACTACATACCTTTCACGATACCAGGGAAACATGGGAGAGGAGATACACAGAGAGGCTCTTGCGCCGTGAGAGAAGAGAGGGGCCAAAACGTAGTGGGCGAATCAAAAGACGTCTGAATACATCCTGACCATCCATTTTTCCCCCTTCTATGGTGCCTGCTGCGTAAAGGTTGACGGGAAGTGGTGGTGGATTCTCTTCTTCTCATTGGTTCTGGGACAGCGGTGCGGCGGTAAGGGAAAGGTGCTGTGCGGGAGATCGACGAGTAGAAGCGGCGGGATGACGGTGAAACATGCCTCAGAGCAACAGGCGGAAACGCATCCATGCGCAGTGGGGGCCCTTTTCTCAGACGGAGGGAAAGTTATTTTCAGGAAGGGCGAGGCGTGCTATCGATAGAGCCGCATCTTCGAGAAGGCTACCGTCCAGAGACAGTTGCAGAAAGATTAGGTTGAGCAGCACTGACTTATTAGAGATCCTCATAAAGGTAGTGCCAAGTCAGACCGACGGCGTTGGCAAAGACCACAGGTTCTGTTTATCTGAACTTGGAGAACAGCAACTTCATGATCTAAATCTGTAAGAAGAGAGCCACTTGTGATGGAACGTAGCGGGAGAGACCGGAGCGATTCGAGGAGCTTGAGGTGCTTGAGACAAGCACTGACAGGTTTCCAAAATGGAAAACGATGCTGGGGGTTGAAGTTATTCGCGGATCGAAGCCCCGGGTGGAGATGGCCGGAGTGGGCCCGGTCGGGCGCTCCCTGGTGCAAAAACACCGTGCTGCCCTTTTGCTTACCTAAAGCGTGGATGACTCAGCTATCTCCGTGGTGCAATTCCCAGAAATTCCCCTGACAGACATGCATCGCACCGCGCCGCACCGCCTGCAACTCTTTTGTCTTAGATTCCACACTGCCGCGGCCGAACAGGCTCCCTGCCCGTCGTGCTGTAGCACAATGCACCGCAGCGATCCCATCTATTGCCCGTCGTAGAAGAGGTATGTTGGACTTCGGGTGACCGAGCGCACGGCTATCACGGCAGCGTCGGTAACTCTTTCGAGAAAGCTTAAACACGTTCCGTGGGCCTCAGCAAGGATCGTCCCTTCGCACGCAAGACGCTGGATGTCGCCTTGAGTTGGAGGCTTTTCTTTGGTTTGGGCCTTTTCCTGCGCTGAACGTCGGTCTTCAGCCACGGCCGATGTCGAAACCATGACCGCCACCGTTAATCAGTCGCTTGATGAATGGCGTGTTCGTACGGAAGGTAATAAGGCACTAGCTGACACGGCGAGTTCTCGCCTTGATGAAATGAACTGCTATATTTGGTGTTTACTATACGCGGAAGGCGGACAACGGGACGGGGCCTAGCATTAAGGGCCGCCAGCGTCGTTGACTCCGAACGACATCCAGAGTTGCGAAACCTATTCGATGATAGGCACGGAGAATATCGGAGGGAAATTACGGGTTTCCTTGGCTATTCAAACATATTGTCTTGGTCTAGCGGTCTATTTACAGACCTTGAAAACCCACCCCCGGGAGGCAAAGGTGGTGTTGCGGTAGACGCCGGCCATTCCCAACGTCTCTCTTACAACAATTCTTCTCAACCTTCATGATGAGGCCTCACCATGGTCAATCGCAACTTTCAATGTCTTGAGCGATTGGACTATTTGCTTATACACGTCGCATCCCCACGGAGTTTCTGGCTTCGCCGGCGTTTCCACCTAGCCCAGCCGTCGTATCGCAACCCACTCGAAACCCACCAAGACCTTGGCTGCTCTCTGGTGAGCAAAGTCGCTATATATACTCATTCTCGACAGAGACGCAGCATCGGGACTTGGAGTTCCGGGTTATCGGGGAACGACATCACCAAGGTTGGACTGGCAAGATCTCTCGAGAGTTTTCACGAACGACATGAGCTTCAAACGGAATGCCTGTCGCTCATTCCGATAAACCATCACGTGACGGTTTCTCAACTTTTGAGAATAGGCCACCCCGAGATCCAAGTGAGGCCAGGATCACATCACTATGCCTTACCCAACAAACAATGAACAACGCATCGCCCCCTCTCTGCTATGAAACGCCTTCTCTCTAGCCACACTATCCGCTGCTTGGATCCTTGTTCGTTCAAGGTAAGCTCGTTTAATCAGCCATGATCCATCGCCTTGAATGCGTGAATGCCTAGGAACAAAAGTCCAATTGCTGGGCTGGTGCCACAATCCATGGCACTGCGCCACACCCTCAATATCTGAAAACACGTCATCCGCCCCCTTCCTCGCCCACGCCGCAGCTCGTGTTGCGCGTTCCCTTCCCGGCCGTTGAAAGACTGGAAAGTGTGTTCGCCTTCTTCATGGGGAGGCGCAATATTAAGGTTCAGAGACAGATCAGTGATGCGCGCCTATTTTGTTAAGTGAACCCAAAGAACTCTCTTCCTTCTCTCTTCATGCTTGTGTGAACCTCTAAGAATTCTCGAAAACTTGGAAAAGATCTTCTCTGAAACACGTTGCATCTGCATCGCCAAGAAAGAGAACATCGTCTTCTCACCAAAGATGGACACCACACAGGAAAGGGAACGTCACACGACGAGCTCCATTGCGGAGCAAGAGCTCTTCTTTTCCTCATCGCCATCGGGCCAAGGCCAGCCTCAGTCTGGGCGGCAGCAACAGCAGCAACCTCAGCATCGATGGTATGATAACGCCCAAGACGACTCACCCGTCGAACCGAGGAGCGGGGTTCCGGCTGTGAACATCATTCCTGCCACGCCCTCTACCCTTCGTTCAAACAGCGTGCGCTCGAATCTGTCTTGGCGGGATAGGGATGCCGAGAGGCAGGCGGCAGCGGCCGGGGCGCTTCCGGAGGTTGAGGAGGAAGACAATATTTACGATCCGCCAAGCACTCATAGACCAGCAACACCGCCTCACGAGTCCAAGGTCTCGACTCACCACACGGCGTCTACTTTTGATTCGCCGACTCAAACTAAGGTGGATGAGGATTATCATGTGTCGCCCATGACCGAGCCCGCTGTATTACACCATGACACGGGATTCTCTCATGCAGACTCAGTTGATACTGCAGAGGCAGAACGGTACTATGATGCGACGTACTCCCCTCAAAATGAGTACCCTTCTTCATTTGACAAGGGCAAAGCCGTTGAGACGCATCCGGAGCCTGCGGTGCTGTACCACAACACCGATCACTCGAACGCCAATGAGCGCCCTTCATCGATCGACAAGGGCAAAGTCGCAGAAGCGCTCCCGGATTTTGAAGACCGGCCGCCGGTCCCGAATCCAAGACCAGTGTCAGAAGTCCCCGATTTTTATGCTCAAGAGCACGGCGGTTACGGTAGAGATCCGGCAGCCCAAGAGCAAGAAGATCGTGACTACGCAATGGCCCTGGCACTTCAGGAAGAGGAAGAAGGCCAGTCACCACCCCTTCCACAACGACACACCCAGCCGGCTTGGAGCACCAACGGGCCGCTCTCCTCCAACCCCTTCTCATCGCCCGAAGACCAGGACCGCGCTCTCGCAGAGCGCCTCCAGGAAGAAGAAGAAAACGGACCCCCGCCCCCCTTACCAGCTCGCCCTCACCCCAAAGCCGTGGCAGAACTGCTCTCCCAGAGCCAGGAACCGCCGCCGTTCTCAAGAACACCCTCCATAGAAGGCATCATGCCGCCCCCAAAGCGCCAAGGCTCCGACTTTGGCAACGACGACCCTTCAAACCCAATCCACTACAGCCGAGACCCCCACAAGCTCATCACCTACCTTGTACCCTTCCCCAAGCCCTGGCTGGGCTCCAAAGCGCCCTCTGATGCCGTGGTCTAAGTTGAAAGACACACCGATGCGGTTATCGACCCCCTTGGTCGCTGCATCACAATGTTGAAAGCCAAAAACGCACAAACGCCGTCCCTAATGCAGTTGAGTGCCGTAGACGCCGTTCTCTCTAGCAAAATGCAGACAGAAATCTTGAAAAACAACCCAAATTGTTGAATCACGCCAATCACGAGCCAAACCCCCTCCGCTGCTCCAAACTCTCGTCAAAACATGAATAAGCTTATTTCAGCTTGTCAGACTCGTCGCCGTAGCCTCCAACGCCGCCAGTCGCGTACGTCTTGCCCTCAGGCGCGACCCTTGCCTGCGATCTCGGGCCGCGGTCCTTGAGATCCTTGCGCAGCCAGCCGAGGACCAGCTCGCCGAGGGTGCTGTTGCCCGTGGAGCCGTCCAGGCCCTCGATGAACTTGTCGGCCGTGTCCCACTCGCGGACGGTGCCGAGGTGCATGTGTACCAAGTGCGTCGGCCAGCCGGCGAGGTTGTCGAGGATGTGCGTCGCATAGACAATAGTGCAGTCGCGGATCTCCGTCTCGCGGCGCAGCCAGGCGAGGAACTCGGCACGGCTGAGGACGTCGAGGTCGACGGTGATCTCGTCGAGCAGGAGGATGGTCCAGGGCCGGATGAGGCCCATGGCGAGCTGGACGCGGCGGCGCTCGCCGTCCGAGACGGCGTGCATGCGCCAGGCGGTGTCGATGTCGAGGACGCTGACGAGCTCGTCGCGGCGGTCCGGGTAGGCGTCGCCGCCGACCGACCTCAGGAGCTCGAGGACGCCAATGTCGGTGCGGACGATGGGGTTGAGGACCCATTCGAGGCCGAGGTAGGTGACGCCCTCGAGGCCGTCCTTGAAGGGATCGATGCCCGCGATGGAGATGCCGCCCTGCGGGGCGAGGCGCTTGCCGGCGAGGAGGCGGAGGAGGGTGGTCTTGCCTGCGCCGTTGGCGCCGATGAGGAGGGTGCGGGAGCGGGAGGGGACGGAGAGGGAGATGTTCTTGAGGCCGGAGCTTGAGTCTTGGAAGTTGTAGCTGAGGTTTGTCACCTCGATCGTGGGCGATTTTTGGGCCATTGTGAAGGTTTGTGTTGGTAAAGCTGTCGACAGCGAAATCTAAGAAGTATGAAAGTGAAAAACGGCAGAGAAAAGAGCACGAGTTTGGTCGTGAGAGGCTAAGAAATATTCAGAGAGGAAGGGAGGGAGGTGTGAAGCAAGGGCAAAAAAGTAGGCGATGCATCATTCACACCGCCCACAAACTAAAGGCGTCATGACCTGACCCTCCGGCGATACTACGGGAAGACGGAGACCGAGGGGCCCAGAATCCAAGTGTCTTAACACTTTACCGCGCATTGGATTAGCAACCAAGTTAACCAAAGCCTGGCGGGATGGCGGGGGAGGGAGGGGGGAAAAAAAAGTGCCCCTCATTCTCATTCCAGAAGGGCGAATGATGACACACACAGGGAGTACCTTAGGTACCTTACGTAGAGAGCAAGGGAACCCCGCCATCCAATTGACTTTCAGGTTGGTCGAACCACTGGACGGACGGAGGGCACAGTCCCTGAACCGTCTCTCCGGGCCGCTCCAAGCACCGGGGCGGGGCTCTCCCCGGGGGAGCAAGCCACAGCCAGAACAGCCCAAGGTGCCTTACAGGGAAGCAACCCCTCCCAACCACAATTAACGCCAAAATTCGCGACTTTTGCCAGCCCAGAGTCCTCCGACGCGTCTGATGTGCGCATTCAATTCACATCCCGGCTTCACACATCCACCACGCCGATTGACACTACGCAAAAGCTCTTTGCAGCTCAGTCACATCACATCTACCGTCAGCAAAAGTCGAGAGAAACACAACTCATCTGCTGCAATGGTCACCCTCGAAGAAGCCACCGCGCTTCTCCAAAAGCCAGCGTGTGTTCCTATTGATCTATAAACCCAGAAGCTCGCTAACCAGCTTCCTTGAACCACAGCGACGCAACATCGTCCTCGTCGAATCTCGTCCGCGCACCGTCATCCTACAAACCCCTCCGCACTTTTGACCTCGCCAAAGACCGCTCGTACCAGCAGCAGTATGCCGACGTCTATTTCCTCCGCCTCACCTCCATCCGGCCCGCCGTCGACGCAGTCGCAGCCGAGGCCTGGGACGGCACCGTCATAGGCGGCGAGGAGGCCCGCCACGTCAACCGTGTTCTCGACGTCCGCCAGGGCGAGCTGTGCTGGGTGACGGGGACGGTCTACATGGACATGGCATTGAAGCCCAATATCTTGGAGGACGTTTCCAAGGATGTACGTCCCATGATTTCTCTTCTGCCACTCCCTTTTCAAGCTGTTTTCAAAGTCTCGCAAAGTCCCGGACTAACGAAGAAACACAGCGTTGGATCTCTGCTCCCATCTCCACGGACCGCTACTACTCGGACGAAGACAAGGACACAATCATGCTCGAAGACGACTCGGGCCGCATCCGCCTCGTCGGCGACATCCTCAAGTCCATCCACCTCGTCACGGGCACAATCATTGGCGTAATGGGCTCCGAAAACGCAAACGGCGAGCTCGAAGTCATCGACGTAAAGTTCCCCGACATCGCGCCCCAGCCATCCCGCTGGACCCTCGCAAACGACCCCTCAGAAGACCACGATATGTCTGGCACACCGTCCCAAAAACGACCCTCCTCCAAGATCGCCATCGTCTCGGGCCTCTCCTTCTCAGGCACAGACGCCTCCTACGCCCTCGAACTCTCCCTCCTCCAAGAATATCTCCTTGGCGAAGCCCTCTCCCCAGCAACCCAATCCGAGCTCGCCTCCATTTCCCGCCTCATCATCGCAGGAAACTCCATCGACAACACCACCGCCGCCACGGCCGACACAACCACAACCACATCCGCAACCAACGGAAGCAGCAAAGCCTCGTCCACCATCAAAAAATACGGTTACGACGCGAGCGCCTACAACCCGCTCCCGAGCCAGCTCTTTGACGACTTCCTCGCCGACCTCCTCCCCTCCCTCCCCGTCACCCTCATGCCGGGCACCCAGGACCCGGCCAACGCGAGCTACCCGCAGCAGCCGATCCACGCCGCCATGTTCCCGCGCTCGCGGCCCTACTGCGCCGCGCCCGACGCCGAGGAACCCGGCTGGCTCGACACCACGACGAACCCCTGGGAGGGCGAGGTCGACGGCTGGAGGGTTCTCGGCACGGGCGGGCAAAACGTCGACGACGTCTTCAAGTACGTCGACAGCGACGACCGGCTCGGCATGATGGAGGCCATGTGCAGGTGGCGGTGCAGTGCGCCGACTGCGCCGGATACGCTTTGTGAGTTTTGCCCCTTAACTTATCCCCTTATCTGAGGATGACCACTTGACTAATTGCGATCATTCCAGGGGCCTATCCCTTCCAAGACGACGACCCGTTCGTCATGAAGAATGCGCCGCACCTCTTCTTCGTCGGCTGCCAGCCCGAGTTCTCGACAAAGGTCATTGAGGGCGGCGACGGGCAGCAGGTCCGGTTGATTACGGTGCCGTCCTTTGCAGAGACCAAGGAGCTGGTGTTGGTGGACACGGAGACGTTGGAGGTTTCAAAGGTCAAGATCACGACGACTTCAGCAGCGGCATCATGATGGAGAAGAGAGAGAGAGAGAAAGAGAGCTGGGAATGGCTGTGGAGGAGAGCATATAAAAAGGTTTATGATTTGATATACCCCCACCCTCGAGCTATGAAGGAAAATGCAAACATCTCCATTATGGAGCAGAGATTCTGAGTTAATGGCTTCCAATTTTCTCAGGTCTAAAGATGAATTTCAACGCTGTGTAGGGTGCTCCATGAACCAATCGCCCGCTCAAAAGTGGCCGCAGGAGTGAAACGTCCCTTTGCATCTGCAAATCCGGAGAAGAGACCAAATGCTACCGTCTCTCCCAAGCCAGCATCCAGATCCTCGTACGCCGACGAAGAAACGCACCTAACCGCAAAGCGAAGCAAAACCAAGAACCCAGAGCAAACCCCTTTCCCAAATGCAAACCCACGCAATCAAAAAGTCCCATCCTGAAAGAGAAGAGAATCCTCCCAATCCTCACAGCAATAGTCCTCTTCATCATCACCAAACTCGTCCTGCTGACGGCGCTTGAACTGCCCGTTCGTGGCCTCCCAAATCTTGCGGATCGCAGCCGGCAACGAGTCGAGCTTCTTCTGCGCCTCGCCCGCCTTGGCGCTGCGGTACGACTGCATAACCCGGTCGTCGCGCCACAGGTCCTTCTCGCCGCGTTTAGCGCGACGGATGTTGGCCGCGTACTTCATGTTGAGGACGATTTTCTCTTGGCCTAATTGTCCTTTTCCAGGGCTATCACCTCCATCGCCACCGCTACCATCACCATCACCGCCGCTGCTGCTACCGACGCTGACGCCCGTGTTGACGAGAATCTCGATAAACTGACACGGCAAGCCGCGGAGCGTGCGGACGACCTCGGAGGATCGCTCGAAAAAGTCGAGAAACGAGACGTCACCCGTGCGCGGGTCGCGCTGGGGCGTGATGTCGATGGTGAGGGTGTGGATGCGCGGGCGGATGGGCCGCAGGCCGCGGAAGACGTTGATGGCGTTGGCCATGCTGAGGCGGTAGGGCGCGTTGGCGCGGTTGGCCTCGGCGACGATCATGAGCTTGCGGAACTTGTGGCCGAAGCGGCGGATGTCAATGTCGGCTGCCGTGTGGCCGTCAGCCAAGAATGACGACGACGAGGGTCTGTTGGTGACGACATCGTCTTCGTCAGAGTACTCGTCCGCGCTGTCTGCCTCGTAGTCGGAGAGGGCGTCGTTGTCGGTGGCAAGCGGGTGTTGGACCACGATCTCGTTCTCGCCCTGCGCGTTGAGGGCGGGAAGTTCGGCGGCGTCGCGGAGGAGGTAGAGGAACGTGTTTTCGCCGTAGAGGGTGTTGAGAGCCTCCTTTCTGACTTGGCGGCATGTTCGAATGAGTTCGGTGCGGATGCCTACTCTGTTCCGGGGGTAGACTGCGGACCAGCCCTGGTGGACTC